CAGTGATAAGAAACAGACACGAGAGCGGCATCAATCTTCTTGTCAAGAACATTTTACCATAGTGAACTTCTCCTCTAGTAGCTGGAGTGAAAGTTAAAGAAAAAGTATGCATGGCGACAAATGTGAGATTTTACATTTCTGTTAAATTAGATTTATTGTCAGTATGTAAATATTCTTGGATTCATGTACTCAGACTTCTTGTTTTTTTTGACACGCCCGTCTATAAATCTGTGTATGAATCCTGAACCTGAATGACACAGACAGTGGATTGCACATTCCTACTTCTGATGCAGGCTAGATTATTTTTTGTGCGAGCCAGAGTGGACATGTTGTATGTAGAAATTCATGCATAATTACTGAATTTTAGAGACATCACTCTGCATTCTGCTGCACATACAGACTGCACACCTAATTTAAAAAGGTATCATATGAACTGCATCGATACCAACAGTATGAGCAGGTTCATTTAGTTATTTATTTGCAGAATTGGCTTGTTTGGATGATATATTGAAACCTGCATAATATCAGGGGGATTTACCCAGTTGTAATGCTTGTAATAATGTACCAACTGTTCTGAGAAACTATGTACATGATGTCTTGTGTGTATATTTGCGCCATATATTTTGTCACGCATGCATTATTACTATTAAAGCTTGCAGGATATGAAACAAGAGGTTGTGTCTTCTAACAGCAGACACTCACCTGCAGTTAAAATGTGCGTGCTGTGAGTGCTGAAGTCACAGAGAGGATTTTATACTCCACATGAAATGAATCCACAGACAAAAGAAGATTTTCCTCATCTCTGAACCTAGTAACATAAGGAAATAAAACGGATTCATTCATAAGAGTTGGTATATCTGGCACACAAACTTCTGTGTTGTTTTATGACTGGAGGAATGTAGATCATACAAAAAGTGGAGCTGTTCAATATGAATAGAAGTATTTCAAATTCATATTTTCAGGAGGCTCCTTCACTTTGAGCCTTGGAAGCAAAGGATGAAAGAAACATTGTACTGGGGTTTGTGGAGGGATGTTTTTGTAATGATCCTCCACTAGAGGGTGTCTAATCACCATTTCTTTAATTTCATATTTTCACTAATAAACACCTGCAGAGTGTGAGTACTTAATGATTTTAATTATTTCTGTAGATTGTTAAGTATCGAGGAAATCTCCATAAATACTGCCTCAGAATCAAGATAATCATTCCTAAATGTTTTGATTCAATCAGGATAAGATTAATGTTTTGCCCTGACATCACCACAAGCATATTTCTCTTCAAAGGTAAGTTATATCATCATCTGTGAAGAAATGGAAAGTTCACAAGTCGCTGCTACTTCCCATATTTATGTGGTCATTCGACGGTGAGGCTGATTTTATGAGTGACCCAGTGAAAAGTCAGATGTCATCTCATGTACACCATAAAAACAATGAGCAAAGCAATCAGCTGGCTTGACAAATGGTCTAATCGTGAGTTCCTGTTTTGTTAAGTAGGCCATGACAAACTCCGTGACAAGACGACCCACTTTGAAACATAAGGGGGATAAATCAGCTGAGCTGGGAGCTAGCGCTCCATTAGGACTGCAGTGACTGTATGTTCAGGATAAATCACCCTTTGTGAGTTGTCTGTAATTTAATTAAAAAACAGGGATAAACGCACGCTCCGTCGCTCTCTAATGGTGTGGACATTAACCTTTGGAACCAGCTGTGTTGCCCTCTAAAATGTTAATAGCTGTGGGGAAAACAGAGTGAAAATCTGTATCGCGCTTGCTGCTCCTGAAGATGCATATTTTATTGTATCTTATCACTTTTAAATCAAGTCATGTTGTGATACATCTTTACAAGCGGCATTTGTATTACTGCCATCAGAGCTGTGTTTATTTAAGACTATTTTCTGCAAAAGACATGAATTCTGTCAGTGAGGATGAAATTGCACTTTTTTTTATCAGCCCAACGTTTTGTTTTGTCCTCAGCTGAAAGAATAATTGTCCTGTCATTTCCATTCTAATTAATATGCATATGAGTCTGTCTTAAGGCTATACATAAAGTTTCGTAGACAGCAAAATCATGAAAAATTGATGGACCAGCTGTGATTTAGGGCGGGCATATGAATAAGAAGACTCCTGGAATATGATGGCTTTGAATAAACAGTGACAGCCGTGCTAACGAGCTGATGTGATGTTCTAATGTGATACAAAGGGAAGAAAGCGGGATGGGTTCAAGGCAGGTGAATGAGAAAAACTTTACAAAGGTAAGACTTGATCTACTGGACTGCTGAACAGGCAAAGTCATGCAGGAGGGTCCAGCCGTTCCATTAACCTTTTGTAATGAATGAAGCTGGGAAACTGGGCAAAGTGTAATGTCATAATCACGTCACATCACAGCCAGCAGAAGAATGAGAGACCTATAGGGCAGCTTTTCTTTGTTACCTCCTGCACATGTTTTATACATCCCAAGATTTGTGAATATTGGTTTCTTGTGGATGAAAGATTGACAACACTGTCTTATCTGATATTTGCCAAACTGACAACCATGCAAGCTGGACACTAGAGCTTAGGCTTGGTAACTAGTCTGGCTTGTCTCAAAGTACCAATAAGCCTATACCTATCAATACATTCAAAGCTCACAAATATGTCTTGTGTGACTATTTCTTGAAACAGGCCAGCACACACAATCCCCCCTCCTGACTTGTTGGGCTTCAGAGAGAGTACATTTTCTTACCTTGGACAGATTTAGGCCAGTTTTCTCCCAGTCTCCATTTCCATTGTGCTTTTAGCTAATTGTTTCCTAGCCTCAGCTATAATGGACACATGTGAGCACTGTGTTGATCATTTCATCTAAGCACAAAGTGTCTTCATTCAAGCTGTGATCGGTCAGACTCAGACTCTGAGTTTGAGCTCAGCAATATGAAACTGCAAGCTAAACCGAATGTTTTATATCAGCAACTGTTTGTTGTTAAACCAACATTTTAAGGAAAACTGCATCAATAGAACACAGGTTGACAGATTTGCACTGCCTGTGGAAGCTAGCTGTCGGATAAATTCCCCTTTAAAAATGAATAAATCTGTTATGAAGAAGTGATCTTAGAAGACCACTGCTCGTCATCTCTGCTTGAGGCTAATTGCTCCAGGCTACATTAGTTACCACTGACACACCCAAATCTCCACTGTTGGCGGTTGAGGTGCAGAAGGGTTCATATGGCATCAGGTTTGGACGAGGAGGAATAATCTCAGTTTAAATAATCTATTTCCATCCATGCCAACATTTCTTCATGGCACCAACAAAGCAAAAACCAGGATATAATTTCCCTGTTTAAAGTTACTAGTACAGTGGAGTATACTGGCCACATAAAGGGAAACAATATTTTAAGGATAAAGTCACAATATTACGAGACTAAAGTTGTAATATTACAAGAAATAAAGATGGGGGAATTCAAATGCTGGTGGATAATAATGTCATAATTTTATATTTCATTTTAAAGGAGGAATATTAGAAGATCGGCCTGTTGCCTGGTTTAAAATACAAAATGTGGAGCATCTTGTTAAGTTATACTTGAGTGCAGGTTTCACAAATAATGAAATCCTAAATCTTTTGGCACATCAGCACCACATTCCGTAAGTATCAAGAATATACTGTGCAAGAAACTTTCTGTTTCAAAGAAAGAACAACACAGACTTGGAGGAACTTGCCTGGAGGAAATGTTTGGTAGAGGTGAACTGCAACAAAATCATAAAATTAATATTATGAGTTTTTTCTTATCAAATCAAAACCTCATTCTCGTCCTCAATCTCAACATTCTGGCAATTTCATCAAGGCCTTGACAAGGTTTTTTAGTCAGCAGCTGGTATTTATGTTGCGTATAGATGCAGCATATGAATGAATGCAGCATATGTCCAAGTGCAGTCTCAGTGCTGTGTATGTGAAGGGGCTGTAGTG